CATGTTGACTTCCCCCCACAAATTATGTTCTTCTATGTGTCTGACAATTATATTCTTTACTGGAGTTTCAACTAATTTGCCCAGTACTGATATTAGACTTACCGGTCTGTAATTGCCTGGGTCACCTTTAGAGCCCTTTTAAAATATTGGTGTCACATTAGCTATCTTCTGGTCATTAGGTACGGAAGCCGATTTAAAGGATAGGTTACAAACCACAGTTAATATTTCTGCAATTTCCCATTTGAGTTCTTTAAGAATTCTTGGGTGAATGCCATCTGGTCCACGTGACTTGTTACTGGTAAGTTTATCTATTTGTTCCAAAACCTCCTCTTAATGACACCAATCTGGGACGGTTCCTCTGATTTGTCTCTTAAAAAGAATGGTTCAGGTTTGGGAATCTCAATATCCTCAGCAGTGAAGACTGAAGCAAAGAATTAATTTAGCTTCTCCAGAATGACTATCATCTTTGCGCGCTCCTTTAGCGTCTCGATTGTCCAGGGGCCCCACTGGTTGTTTAGCTGGCGTCCTGCTTCTGATGTACTTACAAATTTTGCTGTTACTTTCTGTTTATATCGAGGCATTAAGAGATTCTTGTCGTCTTCTCTATCCCTTTTTAATGATTCCTAACATTCTATTTGCTTTGTTGACTGCCGCTGCACAGTGGGGCTGTCTCTACACCAACGATGCCTTTTTATCTCACTGATTCTTTTACTTGGATGTTAAGCCATGGTGGCGCACACTTGGTTCTCTTACTGTGTTTTTTAATTTGGGGATACATTGAAGTTGGGCCTCTATTATGGTGTCTTTGAAAAGTTTCCATGCAGCTTGCAGGGATTTTACTTTTGTCACTGTGCCACCTCATTTTTGTGTAGTTCCCCTTTCTGAAATTCAGTGTCAGTGCTGGGCTGCTGAGGGGTTTTTTCCACCAGAGGGATGTTACATTTTATTACATTATGGTTGCTATTTCAAGCAGTCCAGTTACATTTACCTCTTGGACCAGATCCTGCACTCCACTTAGGACTAAATCGAGAATTGCCTCTCCCCTTGTGGGTTCCAGAACCAGCTGCTCCAAGAAGCAGTCATTTAAGGTATATAGAAATTTTGTCTATGTATCCTGCCTCAGAGAATTATTCACAGTATCTCCAATATGCAATTGTAGCCAAATTTAGTCCCCATTATATTGTGTGTATAGTTAGAAATTTTGTCTATGTATCCTGCCTTGGGGTGACATGTACCGAGTCAATATGGGTATGGTTGAAATTCCCCCACTATTATTGAGGTTTTTATTTTGATAGCCTCTCTAATCTCCTTTAGCATTTCATAGTCACTATTACTGTCCTGACGAGGTGGTCAATAATATATCCCTACAGCTATATTCTTCTTACTGGAGCATGGAATTACTATCTATAGAGATTCTGTGGAACATTTTGGCTCATTTAAGATTTTTACTTCATTTGATTCTACATTTTCTTTCATGTATAGTACCACTCCCCCGCCAAATTGTTCTGTCCTTCTGATAGATTTTGCACCTTGGTATGACTGTGTCCCCTTGATTGTCCTCATTCCACCAACTTTCTGTGATGCTTCTTATATCAATATCCTCCTTTAAAACAAGGCACAGCTAGGATGCAGGGGAGTGCCAGCTCAGCTGGGCTGGGAAGGGGCGGGAAGCTGGTACACAGCTGAGCTGAGCTGTGGGGAGAGCCAGGAAGCAGGGAGAGGGGTGTCGGGGGTGCTGTGGGGGTAGAGGCCCTGAAATGACATCCTCTGGTCTGGAAAAATCCCTCCATTCAGGGACAGGTCCTGAGTGTGCTGGACCAAGGAGGTCCAACCCGTAGTGTGTTGCGGCAGGACAGAGAGCAGACCCATTGACAGCCGTCCCAGGCTATTCATTGTGGAATCCAGCCTTGTAGGTGGGAAACATAGTGCAAAGATGATCCAAGAGTGTTAGTTCCTCACCCAGGCTAAAGGAGTCTCTGGCTCACCCCTCGTGCTGTCCAGGTTGTCTCTTTGTCCATTTTGGCTTAGTTCGCTTTGACAGCTCAGTCTGAAGCATGTACAGAGCATCTCTCCGGGAGAAACTTCCCTAAAAGGGAAGAACCTGTGACCCTTCATAACGATTCTCACACAGGATGTGGCAGAGGGCTGAGAAATCGTCATTCTAGTCCCGCAGTGGCCTAGAAAGCGCTGCATGGCCAATGAATCTCTCTTGCACGTGCGGAAAAGAACAGGCCTCTTGCACCCTTGGGCCACTTCTAGTTTCTCATTTCTTGAAGCACCCTTGGGCCACTTCTAGTTTCTCATAGATCCCAAGGGCTGAAGGGACATTGAGCCTCCAGGCTGACTCCTGCCCAACCCAGGCCAGAGGTGGCCTCTAACTCAGAGCAGGTCTGCTAGAGAAACCAGCCAGCTCCGGGATCAGAGGAGAGGCGCAGCTTAGCCAGCGGAGTCAATGAGCCTGTCCAGACAACTCTATCCGGAAATGCATTTCTTGTGTGAATGGGACCAGACTGGTTTGGGGAAAGGACGGTCTGGAGGCCTGGCCTCGAACTAGTCCTCACCAAGTTATGGTGATCTTGGCTATGCTAGTGTCTCCTGGGCACATTGGTAGAGTCCTAGGAGCCAAATGCCATAGAGAAATGGGCACCGGCCTTGGGAGCATTCCGACGCGGGACTCCATGTGAGCGCTATCAGGCGATGAGCCCTCAGACTGGCCATATGAGACGAGCTTGCTCTTGGCTTTTCTAGTTGCCGCAATCTCTGAAAGGCAGGGTTAGAAACTGATGCCCCTCTGTTGTGGCAAAAAGCTGTTCTCTTAGCTCCGGAAACCTTTCTGCCCAGGGCTTCATAGCTGCATCAGCTGGTATGCCTGGCACCTGTGAAGCTCTGTGGGGAATGAGGTACATTGCAAGAATTCCAGAAGAATGAGGCACTGCAAGACTGGTGTGTTCTCTCCCCAACCCTGTCCCCCAGCTGGGGACATGGTGACCATGAGAGCCTCGTGATGACAGGCTTGCTGGCTGTGCAGGTAGCTGATATTGAGACACCTGGGTGGTCTCTGGTACCAGCAGGTACGGAGAGCCACCCGCACTGGGTGGGTTAGGGGACATGTCCTTGAACCTAAATGGAATTTGCTCAGTGGAAGGTTTAGCTCTTGGGCCTCATTCGTTGCTCTTTGAGAATGTGCACAGGTCCAGCTAGACAGAGCACTCCAGGATCTGTGCGCCAAGAGGGGTTTGTCAGGTGCTGAGGTGCCTTCTGAGGAAGGAGGAACCTTTGTGGAAGGGCTGGTCCCCACCTTCATCAAACTGGCGCTGAGCTGCTATAAGGGGCTGTAAGATGTTGGAAGGTCATGTCAGCTGGAATCTGTGTGCTGGTGAGTCAGTCACCCTGACGTGTCTGAGTTACTGTGACATGGTGTCTGCTCAGCACAGGGACATGCGCACACTGTACTCAGAACCTCTGTAGGAGTTAAATCGGAGTTGGCACATAGTCACTTATACAGGCAAAGCACTGAGCAGACCTGTGGCACCTAGAAGGCTAACCGATTGATTTGGGCCTAAGCTCTGGTGGGTAAAAGCCACTTTGTCAGATGCACAGGTGACACAGGACTCACTGGTTTTGTAGATACCCACTGCCAGGCATTCTAGGAACTTCTAGTTTGGCTTTGTATAGGGCTCAAAGGGGCAGCTGTCAGTCTGTAAGAGCTGTGTGGCAGTATTGTGGCAACGGGGTGGAGTGACACAAACCTAACAGGATACAATGATAGCGGACTACAGCCGGTTCAGGAACCAGTAGGACAAAAGTGGGGTGCAGTTTTAAGTAGCACACAGGAGCATGGCTGGGAGACCTGGACTCTGGGCAGTTTGGTCAAACCAAAGTCTAGTCAGCTTTCTATCTGCCTTCCAATTTATCCAATTCAGACTTCCTTAACTTGCTGGCAAGAATTATTGCGGGAGACCGTATCCAAAGCAGATCCGATAGATCACACGACTATTCAGCATTGTCACAGTTGATAATAGTCAATAACATCTTGCTTCTGGGTTTGCACCAATCTCTGGCTCTTGGCGACCATGGTGAGGCCTGTCTGGGGGGTAAATTATCCCACATCCACCTCCCTGGTGTTCTCTCCCCTGTGTTCTTATGCACCTTCAGTAGGCAGATGCAGCTGGGTTGGTTCCCAGGTAGGTCCTTCAGTTACACAGATCTCCCTTTACATAGGGCGACCAGACATCCCGTTGTTAAAGGGACAGCCCTGTATCGAAGCCCTGCTGCCGGTGCCCTGACTCTTTTCTTAAAAATAGGCAAATTGTCCCATATTTTCTGTCTCCCTTTTTGATCCGTACTGCAGGTCTTGCTGCTTGCCAGCTGCCCTCCCACCAGTGGCGTGTGCCTGTGCCTGCGAGGGTGGTGGCAGGGCGAAGCTGCAGCATGCAGGCTGACTTCTCCCTGCTCCAACAGAGCCCTTGTGGGCAGGCTCCCACCTAGCAGGGCCCTGCCCCTGGGGGTGACTTTTTTTAAACCCGCTCAGTCAACTTCATGTTAGTTTGAACGTTTGTACTGCCCAGTTCGGATTGGCAGCCATGGAACTTGCATGAATAGGAGGGATTTGATCAGGTGTCCTGTATTCAGCTCAGGAAATCTGATCTCCCTAGCTTTACAGGGCGGGGACTTGGGCCTCCTCCTGCGCTACTGCATGGCCCTGCTAGGTGTGAGCAATGGAGAGCCGCCGTGCCGCAGAGCGATCCGTCCTCCTGCCTCCTGCTCGCCTCTCCTAGCCAGCAGTGACCCTTGTGTGGGTGCAGCATGCGTCAGGCCTCGTGCACTACTCGTATGCGCGCAGCTCTGGAAGAGCTCCTTGGAGGGCCCTGTTTTGCACAGGGAGAGGCTCTGCCTCTTGGCTGTCATGAGGAGAGAAGCTGCAAGCAGAGAATGGTCAGGCAAGGCCCTACCAGGCAGAGTTTGACTTGGCTCATGGCCTCATTGCCCTTCTTTTTCAGCTTCTCCCAGTCCCCGGCGCTGGAGCTGGACAAGTTCCTGGAGGATGTGAGGTAAGCGCTCACCCCCCTTCTCAGCTGTGAGATTCCCCGGCCTGCAGCTGGCCTGGGGCAGGCCCTGGATGCTGCCTTGGCTCACCCTCTGCTGCTGCTTCTTGCAGGAATGGCATCTACCCGCTCACGGCTTTCGGGATGCCGCGGCCCCAGCAGCCCCAGCAGGAGGTGGTGAAATCTCCCATTGTCCCTCCATCAGTAAAGACCCCGACACCAGAACCAGCTGAGGTGGAGACCCGCAAGGTGGGTGGGAGATGCTGCTGCTCTCCCCAGTGCGGCACCAGGCACTGACAGCTGGATCATGTGGTCTCTGCTTCCTTTTCAGGCAGTGCTGATGCAGTGTAACATTGAGTCGGTGGAGGAGGGGGTCAGGCACCACGTACGTTTGCACACACGTTCTCCCTGCACAGGGCCTCAGGGCTGTTCAGAGGGTATCGGCTACCCCTTGGCCACAGTAGGGGCGACCAGTGTCGTGCCAGTGACTTGCTCAGCACTGCTGCCCCTGCATGTCTCTGGTAGGCGGTGGCCAAAGCCATGTCAGGCCAAGTTTGGCAGCCCGCGGGGGGGGGCGCTGCCCTTCCCTGGCTGGGGACGCTGAGCGTGTTGTATTGGGCCTGCTCACTGTTTGGGATCCTTGTGGGGCCAGGCACTGCTGGCAGCTGGAGAGCAGGATAAGGGAGGAAAGGGGACAGGCCCCCAGCTCCGTCCCATGCCCATCTTTCTCCTGCAGCTGACACTGCTGCTGAAACTGGAAGACAAACTGAATAGACACTTGAGCTGTGACTTGCTGCCCAGTAAGTACCTGCCCCCCTTCCCCTGGGGCAAGGGCCTCCTGCCCCCTCCCTCCACTCATTCTGCCTTTGTATTGCAGATGAAAATATGCAGGAGCTGGCAGCAGAACTGGTCCAGCTTGGATTCATCAGCGAGGTGAGCACCTGCCCCACTGTCATGCTGGTGGCCGTCCCCCCCCATGCCTGTGCTTATGGGGTGCCCTTCCCCTGAGTGCACAGGCCAGTTTCTTGTTCTGCCTGCCCTATCACGACTGGGCCCCTGTCCTTCCTTCCACCCTGGAGGCGTGGGCTTGGGCAGTGAGCCTGACTTGGCTCTTCACTGTGTTCCACTCCCCTCAGGCCGACCAGCCCAGACTCACCTGTTTACTTGAAGAGGCGTTCACCAAGTTCTGCTTTGCCCGGAATGGAGCCCTGACGGCGGTGACCGTGTCGTCCTAGCAGCCCCTGCGTGCCGGCTGGCCTTGCTTAGTTGCCCATGACCCTTTTCTGAGTCTGTCCATCTGTGTAGGGCACCAGCAAGCCCCTAGATGCTGCGCTTGGAAGCTCACCCTGCATGTGCCGTCGCCAGGCCCAGGGCCAGTCTGCCCTGCCTGCCTATTAAAGGGGATTGGCGAGTCAGTATTATTTCAGCCGTGTTTTGTGGGGATTGTGGGGGCAGTGTGGCCAGCTGGGCTGCCTGCCCAAGCCACGGTAACGTGCATGGCGTTTGGTCTGTTGGAACTGTACCGAGTGTGGTGGGTTTTCTTTTGCACAACCTGTTTTTATTTAATGGTAGGAGAGGGGAGCCCCTGTCCCCTCTGTGTGTGCCACACCTGGCATTTGGCTCTACTCCCCATGGCAGTCCCTTGGGGCTTTTCCTGGCCTGCAGCAGCCCCCTGCTGCTTTGCCCTCTGGCTCTCCAACCCTCGTTTACGTGTGTTGCACGCCAGCTTGGCCTAGCCTATGCTGGAGCCTTGGGCAGGGGGCGGTTGGGAGCAGGGAGTCAGAGCTGCTTTCCCGGACCTGGAGGGCCAGCGTGCTCCTGCTCCTCCTAGGCTAGGCCAGAGGGGCGAAGGGGGGAGCAGTGGGGCCATTGCTACCCAGCATTCCTGGCTTGAGATCTAGGTTCCTGCCCCTTCGCTGCTGGAGGGGGCGTGGGGCTTTGCTCAAACACTCCTCTCCCGGCCCCAGCTCCCGCAGCTGCCTCTTGCCGGCG